CCAGAACTCTGCTGTCTCCTCACCCACACCCAGTCCAGAGATCCATCACCCCCGTCCTCCAGCGGCTCCCCGTTCAATATTGCATCCAATACAAGCTCCTTCTCCTCACCTAAAAGTTCCTCCAGACCTACTTAAATTTGAAAAGAATAATTTCATAAAAATAAAAATTTAGAAGACCAAAAAGGTAGATGTAATTAGTAATTACACGTCCAAAATCAAAAGCAGTCCAGGATACTCCACGGAGAAGTCTGCAGATATAATAAGATTTTTGAGCAGAAAAGAGTCGTTCTGCTCAAGCAAAACTACAAACTGAAGGAACCGACGTCAAGGTGAATGATAATCTCACCAAACATAATGTGAACTTTGCTAACAGCTCGTTACATGAGGAAACAGGAAAATATGCACAAATTGTATTTTTTTGTAGTAGTTAAATTGGGACTCCAGAAGAAGCCAAAGTCCATGTCACCTGGAGCATGGACGAGCTCGATTGTTCAATTCAATTCACTTTCATATCGCCTTAAATCACAGCTATCTCTGAGGACTTTACAAAGCGATTCACCAACACAGATCAGAGAATCAAACAGTTCAAACACAGAAAAGGCAATGATAAAAAACACATAGAGACATTGGTCCATAAGGGGCTGAGACCAATGTCCATAAATCTTGTTGAATGTTGAGAGTCCTGGATCATCACCACAGTCCATAGACCCGTCAGAGGAACAACTCAAAAACCCAGTGGGAAAATGTGAGAAACCTCGGGTAGGTCCACATTAAAGGAGAGAGCCGCTCCCACAGACAGACGGGTTGTCTGTGGGACATCCAGGACTCAGGCTGTAGAACGAGGACAGAGGCCGATGCAGGACTGAGCGCTGTCAAAAGCCACGCAAACATTATTGACAAAAACAAAATTGGAAAGAACATTGTTTTTGGCACACAAATATGTGCCAAAAAAAAATTCTCAAAGAAAATTGCACTATTTTGTTAAATGCTTTATATTCATTGGTTTCACCTATGGGTGTATTATATTATCTGGACAGGGTTTTGCTAGCTTGGGCCTGGCCTCGCCGTCTTAGTGAACAAAAAAGGCTCGTTCTCAGCTGCCATAGAACCTAGATGTTTCTCAAAGGTCATGCTTAGTGGAGATTTTAGTGTCTCTCATCCTGAATTATTTTTTTTCTTTTAAAATCAATCGCTTTTCTTTATATTGACACAATTGTGCAAAAACAAGCTCAGCTCATTCTCGTTCCTACTCTGAGATGCTCCAACACTTTAGGACATTTTTATTTTCAATCGCATTCATAGTCAATAAAAAAAAATAGTATGTTTGTTTTTCAACTTTAATTAATAAGAGCAGAACACTTCCAGACATTTACAAAACTAATCTAGAGGCAAATCCTTTATTTTAAAACATAGAAAAAAGTTTGAGAAGGTATCATAGTTTACTGGTTTTGAAACGAGGCATTTAAAAAAGTTGGGGGACGTGTGTTTCAGTGCGGACAGGGGTCACGTATAACACATTAATTAACTACCTCAAACAAACATATTGATGCTTTAATCAACTTATAAGAAAGTTTCAAATAAGGCCGCACATCCTTGTAGTTTGAGCTAGCGTGCTGGATTAAAAAAATGTAAGACGTAAAAGCAGTGGAAAAAATCCGCACAGCTGTGTAGCTCCCAATCAGTGTATTTTATTTAATCAACTTATAGACATACAAACTCATAGATCAATATTTAGATGTTTTTCAGAGGCATTTAAAGCACAATTTAACACAATTAAATCCCCTTATTACACGCTCCATTGATTTGAATGTAATTTCAAAACGTTCTAACGCTCATTATTTCTTGATAACTGACCTCTCAAAACAATAATGACCGCTGCCCTTTGGTAACGCACCCTCTGCTTGTAATTCAGGTGTGTAGATTACTCCGCAAGTAGTCCGGCCACTTCGTCGCAACTACTGTCGCTATTGGAGCTAGCCACGCTCAATAAACGCAAACACTAATCAATCAACACATTTAAATGTTAATCGGAGAATACATATACATTCTTAACACACGTACACGGAGGTTTTCAGAATGATCTGTGCAGTGTAGGAGGCGCCTGTGTCACAGGTTAAAAAGTGTCTGTTGAGGGGGTGTGATCAATAAAACAGGAAGAGGATAAAAAGGGGATAACATTTAATAAAATATTTACAAAAGGTCCATTAAAATCATGATAAAACCCGTAGTCCGCTGGGCACCGGTGTCCTCCCTGGCCTCGGTTCCCTCCAGGCCCTTCTCCGTCCCGGGACCGGGCTGCAGTCCCGCCAGCCCCTTGCAGACACGGGTCGCCACCGGGCACCCGCGGGGAAGAGCCGGCACATCCCGGTCTTCGGTGGGCATAGCCCGGGCGCGCACGCGCCAGTGCGCTATCAATGCGCGCCCCCTCACCGGTGCCGCTCTGCCCGCTGGCCTCAGTGCCCCGTGGTCTCTGGCTGGCGGTGCTCGTCCTTGGCCCGGTCCCGTGTCCTCATCCTCTCCCCTGGCTCTCGTCTGGCTCTCCTCTGCTCTCTTCCTGTTCTTCTCCCTCCTGTCCTGCAGTGCCCGCCCCCAATTAAAAGGTCTTGATTAAAACAGGTGCGGGTGATTAGGGGAAGTGTCCAAGGAACTGTGATTAAAATCCATGCATTAAAAATATAAAAACACAAAACACATCACACAAATAAAAGCAGTTAAAAGTCCTTATTAAAAGTTCACTTTCCCACACCTGTAGCGAAAGCATATCAATTACATACTGTATGTTGCGAAACAAAGTTACAGTAGATTGCGGAAAAATACCTGCAGCTTGCTCAGTTCTGACTTTCCCCACGACAACACACCCACCGGTGCAAAGAGCGCGCTTATTTATTTCAGGAAGTGTTGCCACGGGGACCATGGGAACTCTCGTTTGAGGAGTAGACCATTACCGCGAGATTCTTTACAAGAGACGGCAAAAAATAACAACTGGAGAGGTGCGGAGAACGATACAAATGACCCGGGTTACATAATGTTTTCGTGACAAAAATACTGGTTTAATGCGAGAAAAAGCTATTGCGATAAACCCTGAAGTAGGTTCCGGGACATTTTAGGAACATTTGCAGAGAATCGAGTTATGGATTTAGCTTGAGTTTATGTATGGGTCACTCACCGCTAATGTTCAGAATTCTTTGTTCAGTTTTCATGCAGTTCGAGAGACCTTCAGGGCAAAGCTTCGCCCTGTCAGTATTTATTTTCCGATAATAACCTGCTTACTATACATTATCCCTTACTTATAATCAAATATGTATTTTGATAAAACACTTTGAAACCAGGGCGACAGTAGGGCGACAGTACAAAATGAATGGATGGCTGGACTTTGAAACCAGCCTGTCCTTACTCAACATTGATCTCATTACAACATTTAATTTCTGTACAGGCTTCATTCATTTATAAAGATAAGATAGACTTTATTGATCTCACACTGGAGAAATTTTACAAACTACAGTCACATGTATTCCCATCTTTTACATCCTCACAGTCTGCTTTCAAACTGCTGACTTGGTTCCAACTTTTATTCACATTAAAGTTGTCTGTATGCGTCTGGCCTTGTGTCCATCTGTGCTGTTATCGTGGAACTCCAGACCAATTAGCTCTCTCCTCCAGCTGTAGCTAGCCCCCCCATCCCCCCCCCCCCACACACACACGCACACACCAGTGCCCCCCAGCCACCCCCCCTTCCTCCATTGCTGCCATTATTAGCCGAGCTTAATGACGGCTTGTAGCTACAGCGCATCTGTATGGCTGTGTGTGACGCAAGACTACATGTGAGAACTATTCTGAGACGTCCAGATGGTGTGTGCGTGTGTGTGTGTGTGTGTGTGTGTGTGTGTGTGTGTGTGTGTGTGTGTGTGTGCGTGTGTGTGTATGTGTGTGTGTGCGTGTGTGTGTATGTGTCCTATCTCAGAGGCAGTAGGAATAGATGGTTAGGATGAAGATTGGATTTACCGGGGAGAACAATAGCTGGAGAGAACAAGGAGATATAGACAAAAGCTTTCATGGAAAATTCAATTTAGTTCATTTTATTTTTGTATCGCCCTAAATCCCAACAGTATTTATCTCAGAGGACTTTACGAAACTGTTGATGTTGCCAACACAGATCAGAGAATCAAACTGTTCAATCACAGGAACTAAAAGGAGGCAAAGTTCTAGTTAGTGTTTTTTGTGTGTATCATGACAATAATTTCATCAATGATAATTTTTGTAGAATCTGAGATCACAAAAGGTAATGTCAGAACAAGTTTAGCCACAGAATTGAGCAGAATAGAGGTAATTGTTTGACAATGTTACTATGTAATAATTACCTATATACACGTATATAAGCTCAGTGTGTGTGTGTTCGTGTATCTGTATGTGTGTGTCTGTCTGTTTTTCTGTGTGTGTGTGTGTCTATCTGTATGTGTGTATGTGTCCATGCGTTCATATGTGTGTGTGTGAGTGTGTCTGTCTGCCTGTCTGTGAGCGTGTGTGTCCGTCCGTGCGTCTGTGTGTGGTGTGTGTCTGTCAGTCTGCCTGTCCGTGCATCTGTGTGTGTCCGTGCATCTGTGTGTGTCCGTGCGTCTGTATGTGTGTCTGTGTGTGTCTATCTCTGTGTGTGTCTGTGCGTGTGTTTGTGTGTCTATCTGTATGTGTGTCTGTGTCCATGTGTTTGTGTGTGTCTACCTGTCTGTGTGTGTTTGTGTCCGTCCGTGAGTCTGTGTGTGTCTGTCAGTCTGCCTGTCTGTGTGTGCGTCCATGCATCTGTATGTGTCCATGCGTCGGTGTGTGTGTGTGACTATCTGTATGTGTGTGTGCAACCCACTCTAATACTCTAACATGTCTTTCCCACCTTTACATTGGAACATCTTAAACCTTCTTCTTCAAACTTCATCCTCAGTATTTCCCATTTTCCCTTTTTTAATCAAACCTCCACAAACTCCAGAGAACTGACTTTTTATCTCACTCAGAGACTGAACCTGAAGTCCGCAACCTCCAAGTCTCCGCCGTCACCACCGACAGCTTTAGCGTGTTGTGGGAGGCCGAGGACTACGCCTTCGATACCTTTGTCATTATGCTCAGCCACAGCGCCGCCTCCACGCCACCTCAGGAACTGGTGCTGAGCGGGGACGAGCGGAAAGCGGACTTTAACTACCTGAACCAAGACGCAGAGTATAAAGTTGAAATCTTTGGACTGATAGCACAAAAGCGATCCAAGTCTGTGACGGCGCAGGTCCGAACAGGTATTTTGAGGGTCGGTGAAGTCTTGGTGGTGGTGGGCTCCGTGGGTGTTGCTAACAGTTGTGGTGTCTCCAGGTGGTTTTTCTACTAACAGTAGCTGAAAGATAGTGTCATTGTCCAAACTGTATATCGCCAGCTTTTTGTTTGACTTTTGTAGAAATGTGTTTCGATAATCGGCTTCTTTGTCCTGTGTTCCATGTCTATATGTGGTGTTTTATGACAATGTGGTCCAGTGGTTCTCAAACATCCAAGCGTCCTGGCTGTAGTCTAGGGATTCAGCGAAAATGAAGGTTTGGTAATTATACATATTTCTTAAAGTAGCAATATGTACGATTTTCATGTCAAGTCATCATTAAATGGCCCTTATATTTCAAAAGAACTAAACAGAACTAAAAAAGGTCTTGTTAGGATTCCAAAATCATTAATGACAAAACAAGGATTTCTATCTTTGTGGAAAAGGTGTTGGTTATAGATTTGTTGTTGACAAACTCTTGTCTATTCAGCTGTTATGGTCCCAGCTGGGTTCGTCTGCATATCTGGCAACCTGAGTCAGAGAGAGTTGGAGAGGCTGCAGTACCACTTTTGGCCAGATGTGTACATACTGCTCCTTTAAATCTCATAATTTACAGTATTATCTTAATCATTATTATGTAGTATTTGTACAGAGTCTTTGGACAGTCTTGGTCCTCCGTACTCTGTGAATATAACGTCTGAGGCGGCTGTTGTGGTGTAACCTCGGACTGAAATGACTGATGAGGTTCACCACCAGCGGGTCCCCATTACACATCGTCACGGACCATTGGCTTCTATAAGTATTCCATTATACTGTGCTCATTTCACCCTTTCAGACTGTTCCTGAAGCGTTTGAAGACACCAGAGAGAACACTGAACACTTCCATTGGACACATTCTTATCATGACATTTGCCAAAAACTCTCAATAGAAATGTTTGTTTATTTGTAGAAATAAGTTTGACATAAAAAGAGAGACACAAGGACTCTACCGACTCCCGCAAGACCCCACTTTGCGCCCCCCCGACCCAGAGGGAATTTAAAGATCACCATGTAACTTTTCAAATCGAAGCAAAATATTTGGATGCCACACTCATACGGCAGCACTGAATTTCCCCAACTGTGGGACAAATATCTTTAGATTGAACACATTATAATACAAAGGTAGGGAAGACAAACAAAATCAGTTACAGCTGCTGGAATATGGCCTTGTATATATATCTACGTTGGATTAACAGACTCCTTACGCGATACGCTTAAAATACCTAATAATAAAAGAATCGTCAAAGCAATTTTATCTGGCAGTCATATAACAAGTTTTTATCCATCCATCTTCAATATAATCAATATCTGGGCTGGTCCTCGCAAGATCCTCATAGACTTTTCTTCACAATTTCCCAAGATCATACATTATTCAATTACATTTATTTTTGTACAGCCCGATACAAAAATACTGTTGTGAAAACAGTAGTTAATTCAGAGGACTTCAAAAAGCTGTCAATTCGCTAACACAGATTAGAGAAAGGAAATACAATGATAAAAGACACATAGAGCCATTGTCCATTGTCCATAAGAGGCAGATAAATATAAATATCGTTGAATGTCGATTATCCCGGATCATTAACACTGATCTTGGACCCTCCTGTATCGACAAGGACCAACTCTGAAAACCCAGAAAGAGAAAAGTGAGAAACCCCGGGGAGGCCCATAAGCAGCTATGAATAAATCAGTATCTTTCGTATACGCCTTAATGGTAAATACTATCATCAAAGCATCAGTCACTTCCGTCACTCTGTCTCTTGGATCACCGTCGTCACTTACCGCTGTCTCTTCTCTATGTTCTTTTCTGGAGCCCTTTCACTGCAGACGGGTGCTGATTGGACGCCCCTGTGGCCTGTGGCTTTAAGATGCATTTCCACTTTTGTGTTTGTCTAAAACGGGGGCAAGTATACTTCCTTCGGGACGGTCACGCAAAGACATTATGGTCCCATGTGAAGGGTCTCGTGCCCTCAGTGCCCTGGCTTTGTCCCGTGTGTGTCCATGTTGTAAAACCTCTGCTGCTGCTCTGCTGCTTCTGAATGGGGCCAAGAATACGGGTCTTTTCCACGGTCATGTGAAGGAAACGATGAGTAGTTGGTCATTTCTTGATGTTCAGTGACATATATCGGGAAGATGCGGGTGGATGACTGCTTACTTTTACTGAAAATTGATAGAATGGTTGGCGAGAGAGGGTTTTATCTACACTGTAAATGTAATGTAACAGTAATCCAATGTAACAGTAATCCAAACCTGCGTCTTCCTTTAGCCCTTGTGCTAACCTTGAGTCAAATTTACTATATCCAACTTTTTCGAACCAAGTTATTCGTCTGTTATATTGATATATGTAAAAAAAAATATGTATTGTGCAGGTTCGAAATAAATAAATAAATTATAAAATACCCTAAATAAACCATTTTTGAGTTGAATTTGTATATTTCCTTCCTTGAGTCATTTAGACCCTAATGTAGGTATTTTTCTTCTACTTTCCATTATCTGTGGTGGGTAATTTTGAGCCGAGGTTAGCACAAGTGTTTATAGCCAATAGTATAATAACAATCTTTCCTTCTGATTTATATGTTCTGTCTTCCTCGCCTTGATCTCGCCTCCCGATCGCCTTCGCTGTATCATATATTGTCTCACTCCCATGGGTTCTCTCTGGCCCTTCTCCTCTCTCTCTTCTGCAGACCTGGGAGCTCCAAACGGCCTCCGCTTCTCTGATGTGACTGACACCTCGGCCATAGTGCATTGGGTGGTGCCCCGAGCGCGAGTGGACAGCTACAGGGTCACTTATCTTCCTGCACACGGAGGTAAGACAATGAGCCACTGGGACATGATGTGTGTTTGTGTGAACAAGGAGGATTGGAGCCCAATACGTATTTGCTTCCTCCAGGACTTTTTTCCAAATTTAATTTTCAAATCAAACGGATGTATCTTGTTTTGTTTTGTCTATATAAAATATTAGTTTTATATAATCACTTTCTGACTTAGTAAAGAGAGAACAGAGAACACTTCTATTGGACAAATACTTTGCCAAAAACTCTCAATAGATTTTATTCTTAGATAATTGGTTGTTTATTTGTGGAAATAAGCCTGTCATAAAAATTGCTTTAGTGACATTTGCGTGCAGAAAGGAAGAAGTACTATTCTCTTCTTGAAACAAACCATAATGCTTTCATATAGGTTCTATAGGAGAGACACCAAGCTGCAAAGCATGGTGGGATTTGCACAAACCTACTCACTTACTAAAAGAATCAGACCCTCCAAGGCCAATGACATGTTACTATACAAAGATAGATAAATATGAATTTGTTTTTCAATACACCAGAGTGTGTCACAGGTGCATCTGTACTTAGTGTATTAGAGTATTTATACTTCTTCTTTATTAAGCTGTAATAAATGAAGCTGTAATTGTGTACGTTTTCTATTTTAAAGTTTAGGCTTGTGCTATACTTAATAGTCACTTATTTTGTGTAGTGTGCTCCTCATTCCTACTGTTTTGGAACTTGTTAAGTAGGGGAGAAACTGAAAGCAGAAATATGTTTGTTGAAATATCACTCATGGGTTTTCTTAGATAATAACATCGCACCTTCAGGTCACACTTACAGGTCAGCTCTTGTACATTTAAACTCCCTGGAGTCTGAATCATGTATTCCTTAGACTTTACTGCGCCTGTTCTGCATCAGAGTATGTTTATGTGACCAGCAAGAGAAAACAAGAGTGTACAGCTATGAAAATTCCCAATCCATACATTTGTTTGGAATGACACAATGTTCTTTTCAGCTTCTGCAGCTTTTCTGCTGTTGCTATAGTCTCACACTGCCCCCCAGTGGCCGACTGGAGACCTCTCAAATCTAGCTGTGTGTAAGTTTAGAGGGCCGGCATTTAAAGATTGACATTTGGATGTCAGATTTGTGATGAAATGTTAAAATTGATGGTGTGTTGCGTGTGTTACAGGGAACACAAAGTCCCTGACCGTAGACGGCTTCGACTCTCACTGCGGTCTGTCCAACCTGACCCCAGGCGTCACCTACGAGGTCTCTGTGGTGGCTGTCAAAGGGGAGAGAGAGAGCGAGCCGGGGGCCGGCACCGTGACCACAGGTGAGATCAGTACTACAGCACTGTTATATAATGACAATGATATGTATCCACCTCTACTACTGCGACTACTACTACTACTGCAACTACTACTACTACTACTGCGACTACTACTACTACTGCAACTACTACTACTACTACTGCGACTACTACTACTACTGCAACTACTACTACTACTACTGCGACTACTACTACTAGTACTACTGCGACTACTACTACTACTACTACTAGTACTACTACTACTACTACTACTACTACTACTACTACTACTACTACTGCTACTACTAGTACTACTGCTACTACTACTACTACTACTACTACTAATACTACTACTAATACTACTACTACTACTACTACTGCTACTACTAGTACTACTACTAATATTACTACTACTATTAATACTGCTACTACTAAAACTACTACTAATACTACTACTACTACTGCTACTACTACTACTAATACTGCTACTACTACAACTACTACTACTACTACTAATACTGCTACTACTACTAATACTGCTACTACTACTAATACTGCTACTACTACTACTACTGGGGGTGCTGCTACTACTACTTTTAAAAGTACTCTGTGTATACTGCTCGTAGTACAAGCAACTTGCTACTGTTAATTCTTTTCCAACAATCATCAACATCAGTTGCTTTTACTTCTACTTCTACAACTACTATGACTATCAGAAATGATATGATCTAATACTGCAGCTAAATCTGCCACTATTACTTTATCAGTTCAACGAAATAACAATAAATACTGCTTCTGCTGCTACAGAACGTTCTATTTACACTTTCAATTGAATGAGTATAAATGAATCCCATATACTACACATGTTACTACGGTTACGGCTCGGCGGGTGTGTGGAGACGTAAGAGTAGTTTGAGAACAGCCTGCAGCCCTGTCCTGTGTGGCTCACTGAGTGTGTGTCTTGCAGCTCTGGATAAACCCAGTGGTCTGAACGCAGTGAACATCACAGACTCGGAGGCTCTGCTGCTATGGCAACCAGCCATCGCCACCGTGGATGGTTACGTCATCACCTACAGCGCCGACTCAGGTACGGGCAGAGAACTGTAACAGAATAATCCTGAGGTTTGGACAGAAACACCTAAAAAAGTACAAATGTAAGGAAATAATTTCTCTAAAGCAGATTTTTATTGAAATACTATCTGATAGAACAGATGGAAAGTAGTCCCTAGCTGTGTGTAGGGAGGTTTGTTTGTGTGTGTGTGTGTGTGTGTGTGTGTGTATGTTTGCCAGTGTGTATGTGTGTTTGTGTGCCTATATCTTAACATTTACAGTCCATTGTGTGTGTGTGTGTGTGTGTGTATCTTAACATTCACAGTCTGTTGTGTGTGTGTGTATGTTTGCCAGTGTGTATGTGTGTGTATCTTAACATTTACAGTGTGTTGTGTGTGTGTGTGTGTGTGCAGTTGCCCCGGTGATGGAGCGCGTCTCTGGAAACGTGGTAGAGTTTGAGATGACGTCTCTAACTCCCGCCACTCACTACACTGTGAAGGTTTACGCCGTCAGAGACACGGCCAAGAGCGCCGCCACCACCACCGACTTCACCACAGGTCTGACCCCCGACCCTTCTGCACTAATGATGATAATGATAATACATTTTGTTTATTTTGCACCTTACATTTCCATAAAACCTCAAACTGTCACGGACAATTCTGTTTTCTGCTTTTGAATATTGAAATAGATTTGATTGTTTTTACCGGGTTACAAGAAAAAAAAATCTACCAAGAGCTCTTTTTACCGTATTCAACTTAAAGCTTGGCGACCTAACTTTAATTTTTTCTGCTCCAACAGAAAGTTCTGTAAATGTAAACAAATCAGATCACCACATAATGCCACAACGAGGCAGCTGCGACTGTAAAGTGCCAAACTGCCCTTGTGTCCTTAGGCAAGACACTTCACCCACATGGCCTAGAATGAGTCTGGTGTGTGTGTGAATGGTTGGTGGTGGGAGGGGCCGATGGCACATACTGGTTGCCTGCAGATGTGGCCACAGCAGTAGTTTATCACCACCGTGTTTGGAGTGAATGAATAATGACATGTAAAGCGTCTTTGAGTGTCTAAAAAAGCGCTTTATAAAACCGGTGTATTATTATTATGCTCTCTTCATATGAGTCACATATGATGATTTGGGCTGAGGCAGGTTCTCTTTTTCACTTTTATGTCTGAAAAACTAATGTAAACATGTGACAGAGACTGTGAAAACTATTGATGGCACCAGGACTTTTTGAGAAGAACTAGAGATAAAAGGAACCTCCGCTTTAAGAATGATTTCTCTGTAAAGCTTTGACTGATGCAGATGTGTGTCTCAGACGTGGACGCGCCTCAGGACCTTCAGACCAGTAACGTTCAGACGGAGACAGCGCTGCTCACGTGGAGACCGCCGCGCGCCGACATCACCGGATACATCCTGACCTTTGTGTCCGAGGCCGACGGCTCCATGCGGGTGGGTTCTCCTCCTCATGCTCCTCCTGTGCTCTCCTCATGCTCTCCATCTGTGCTCATCATGCTCCTCATGATCCTCCCGTACTTCTCATGCTCTCCTCATTCACTTCTCATGCTCCTCCTGCTCCTCCTGTGCTCCTCTTATGCCCCTCCTGCTCTCCTCCCATGCCCCTCCTGCTCTCCTCCCATGCCCCTCCTGCTCTCCTCCTATGTCCCTCCTGCTCTCCTCTTGTGCTCCTCACGCTCCACACGATCTCCTCATCCTCCTCTTGCTCCTCCTACACTCGTCCTCCTGCTACTCCTGTGTGTGTCGAGAGACCTAAGGTGTGTGTGTTTGCAGGAGGTGGTGCTGAGTCCCACTGCGGTCTCCTATAACATGGCGCAGCTGAGCGCCTCCACAGTTTACTCTGTGAAGCTTCAGGCCATCGCTGGCCCCAAGAGGAGCAAGGTCATCACCACCGGCTTCACCACCAGTGAGACCACTTTCCTAACACTGTCTTTATGTTGCTTCCTCTTTTACATTTGGATATTGCCAAATAAGCTACTGTTGTATACATAACATAAAAATCTAGGTATAACAGTAATTATTATGAAAATGTTTTCACCTGAGAGGGTTTCACTTTTAAAGACCGTTGCATCAGTTTCAGTCTTTATGGCCACATCCAGGATTGAACTTTAGTGTAAAGATGCTACATGTGGATCTCATATATCAGAACAGAACAGTATGCACCACAAGATGAAGATCAGCCATTTAAAATCTACCGGGCGGCATAGTGACTGAGTGGTTAGCACTCTCGTTTCTCAATAAGAAGGTCCTAGGTTCTCGCTCTCGTCAGCCCAAAACATGATCCATTCATATTTTTGCTGCGGCTTTAAGTCATAATACATATTCATGTTTTTATGATAATGAAAAATCTTTATTTGTACAGCGCTTTCCAAAAACAGTGTTTCAAAGCGCTAAAGCAGAAAAAACAGTCAAAAATATTCAATAAAACAGTCATAAGAATATAAAGATCTCAAAAATACGCAAAGGAGAAGAAAGCAGACAGACAACAAGACAAAACAAAGACAATGTGGAAAAGTGAAATACATGTAGAGTTTAAAACAGACAGTTATGGGAAAACCATCAATAAAAGTGTGTTTTAAGTGATTTAAAGGATGTACATGTGATTGCTTCTGCAGCCGGCGTCCTGTATAGACATCCCAAAGACTGCTCCCAGGCGCTGCTGAACGGGGACACGTCCTCCGGCCTTTACACCATCTTCGTGGGCGGAGACGAGAGCCAGCCACTGCAGGTTTACTGCGACATGGGCTCAGACGGCGGCGGGTGGATCGTGAGTGAACCACCTCCACAACTCACAGAATAATCTCGACTCAAGTTTTTGTTCATGGAGTGAATTGTTTGTGGTGCAGGTGTTCTTGAGGCGGCAGAGCGGGAAAGTGGAGTTCTTCCGGAACTGGAAGAATTACACCGGCGGCTTCGGAGACATGAATGATGAGTTCTGGCTGGGTGTGTTTTCATATTTAAAAGTACAAATTATGAAAAAAATTGTCAAAATGCAGTTATACAGTGATAGATTTTCATGTTAAGTCATCATTAAAGGGCCCTAATCTGTCAAATAGCATGAATAAATTATGCTCTTTTCCAATACTTCTTTAAGTAATAGCAGTTGTTCAGAGATATTCAATTTCAAAATAAGTTTTACAGCCCCGAAATCTTATTATTGTTTTCATTTCGATGTCCCACCCTCCACCGTTTCACCAATCAGAAAGTCTGTGATGCGGGTTGCCAGAACTCACCGCATTGAGCTAATCTTACTGGTAAAGTACCATGTGGCCACAGAACTAAAAAAGGTCTTGCTATGATTCTTAAATCATTAAGGACAAAACAAGGAATAAAACCAGGATTTCTATCTCTGTGAAAAAGGTGTTGGTTTAAAATTTGTTGTTGACAAAACTCTTTTCAGCTAAGCTGGAGTCGTCTGCATATCTGGCAACCTTTAATATATCAAATGCATTAGTACACATTTAGCTACAGTGCATATGGCTATAATAAATATTGAAGCAATTATACAATACTGTATATGTGGCTCTGGGACATAGTGACACATGTTGTATATTTTGACATTATTAAAGTAAATTAGTAATAAAAATGAGTAAAGTGACAGAGGACACTGACGCCCTGTGCCCTGTATTCCTACGTGTTTGATTGCATGTGTGTTGTGCGTTGTGTGTTGTGTGTTGTGCGTCCTGCAGGTCTGTCAAACCTGCACAAGATCACAGCTGGAGGTCAGTACGAGCTGCGAGTGGATCTGAGAGACAAGGGCGAGACGGCGTTCGCTCACTACGACAAGTTCTCAGTCTCTGAGCCCAGGACGCGCTACAAGGTCCACGTGGGAGGCTACAGCGGCACCGCGGGTACACACTCTGAACACAAACACTACACGCACACACTGTACACCCAACACTACACTATACACACAGACTATGTACTGCTTACACACATTAAACTGATACATTGAAAATAAAAACATTGAAGAAGAAAATGGCAAAGAGGAGATCCATTAGATCCATTATTTATGTTAATGAATGACAATAATTAAGATTCTGAGTAAATTTTGAATCAGTTGTAAAAGAAACAAAAGAAAGAAAAAGTAAAAAAGTGGAAACATGTTTTACTTCTACCTCCTCATTTTCAAATTGTATAGTTTTTATTGTATTTTAAAATGAAACATTAAAAATAAACACAACATCTTCACACACACTGCAAACACACACTTAACACTACACAATTTCTACACACACACTGCCCCCTGGTGATTATTGAAGTGCTGGTGAATATTTAAGTGCCGGTGTTGGGACAGTGGTGACCGTTGTCTGTTGTGTGCAGGTGACTCCATGACGTACCATCACGGCCGGCCCTTCTCCACGTATGACCACGACAACGACATCGCCGTCACCAACTGCGCCCTGTCCTACAAGGGCGCCTTCTGGTACAAGAACTGCCACCGGGTCAACCTCATGGGTCGCTATGGAGACGACAGCCACAGCAAGGTCTGCACTGGTCACACAATGATGAGAGAAGAAGAGATTTTAGTTATGATTTCATCCCACAGTCGGGAAATGTCATTATCTTTGTTGATTTAAGATGAAGCTGAAAAGATGCTTTATTTGTCCCACAGTGGGGAAATTTCAATGTTGCATCACCGCTTAGAAAAAGTGCTAAGTCCTCAAATATACCTTTACGTATAAAATCTCTAACGTCAGCATAATAAAGAAACAAGTATAAATCACTGTATTTTCTAGTGCAAGACATATGCAGCTGTATGCTCTGTATCTGTACATGCTGTAGCTGTATGCTAACTTGCGCTTACCCTGAGCCTAAAGTGCAGTCTGTTTTTGCACTTACCCTGAGCCTAAAGTGCAGTCTTGTATTGCACTACCCTGAGCCTAAAGTGCAGTCTTGTATTGCACTTACCCTGAGCCTAAAGTGCAGTCTTTTATTGCACTTACCCTGAGCCTAAAGTGCAGTCTGTTATTGCACTTACCCTGAGCCTAAACCGCAGTCTTGTATTGCACTTACCCTGAGCCTAAAGTGCAGTCTTTTATTGCACTTACCCTGAGCCTAAAGTGCAGTCTTTTATTGCACTTACCCCGAGCCTAAAGTGCAGTCTTTTATTGCACTTACCCTGAGCCTAAAGAGCAGTCTGTTATTGCACTTACCCTGAGCCTAAAGTGCAGTATTGTATTGCACTTACCCTTAAAGTGCAGTCTTTTATTGCACTTACCCTGAGCCTAAAGAGCAGTCTGTTATTGCACTTACCCTGAGCCTAAAGTGCAGTATTGTATTGCACTTACCCTTAGCCCTGGGCAGTCTTTTATTGCACTTACCCTGAGCCTAAAGTGCAGTCTTTTATTGCACTTACCCTGAGCCTAAAGCGCAGTCTTGTATTGCACTTACCCTGAGCCCTGGGCAGTCTTTTATTGCACTTACCCTGAGCCTAAAGTGCAGTCTTGTATTGCACTTACCCTGTGCCTAACGTGCAGTCTTGTATTGCACTTACCCTGAGCCCTGGGCAGTCTTGTATTGCACTTACCCTGAGCCCTGGGTAGTCTTGTATTGCAATTACCATGAGCCTAAAGCGCAGTCTTTTATTGCACTTACCCTGAGCCTAAAGTGCAGTCTTTTATTGCACTTACCCTGAGCCTAAAGTGCAGTCTTGTATTGCACTTACCCTGAGCATAAAGTGCAGTCTTTTATTGCCCTTACCCTGAGCCTAAAGAGCAGTCTGTTATTGCACTTACCCTGAGCCTTAAAGGAATAGTTCACCGTTTTTACATACTGACATATGTTCTTACCTTACCTTAGACTAGTTAATATGTACCTGTCTGGTCTTAGTCCGTGCGCTCTGTCATGCAAACGGAGCAAAAACGGGAGCACAAACGCAGCCTCCTCTGTATACTGTATAGTACCCAAAAGGTAGCTCCCGCTAGAAGCTACCAAACTCTTCCAAGTGTTCCCTATTAAATGCATATAGTTACGTGACGTGTTACACTGCAAAGTATAGTAACACAGAAATGTAACTGTCGATTTTCTCAGCGGATAAAACGGGTACTATATTGTGAGGCGTAGTAATCTGAGGAGCGCTACGTCCGCGCACTAACTTCTCTCCGGAGACTTCTCTCTCGCTCACTTCCGTCAATAGAAGCAGCGTGACTTGTAGTACACACAGTAGTAGCAGAGACTTATCGGATAGCTAGTTTGAGAACAGTTGAGGCAAGTTGCTGCCTCAACTGTTCTCAAACTAGCTATCCGATTCCGATATCCGAAGTCTCCGGAGAGAAGTTAGTGCGCGGACGTAGCGCTCCTCAGATTACTACGCCTCACAATATAGTACCCGTTTTATCCGCTGAGAAAATCGACAGTTACATTTCTGTGTTACTATACTTTGCAGTGTAACACGTCACGTAACTATATACATTTAATAGGGAACACTTGGAAGAGTTTGGTAGCTTCTAGCGGGAGCTACCTTTTGGGTACTATACAGTATACAGAGGAGGCTGCGTTTGTGCTCCCGTTTTTGCTCCGTTTGCATGACAGAGCGCACGGACTAAGACCAGACAGGTACATATTAACTAGTCTAAGGTAAGGTAAGAACATATGTCAGTATGTAAAAACGGTGAACTATTCCTTTAAGTGCAATCTTTTATTGCACTTACCCTGAGCCTAACGTGCAGTCTTGTATTGCACTTACCATGAGCCTAAAGCGCAGTCTTTTGTTGCACTTACCCTGAGCCTAAAGTGCAGTCTTTAGGCTTAATCTCAATTTGTTGCACTTACCCTGAGCCCTGGGAAGTCTTTTATTGCACTTACCCTGAGTTTTGTTGCATGTTCCAAGCTTCTTCACTTCTCAAGATTATTTCTTTATGCATTATGATATTCCATATATTTTGTATCCATTTTACATTCTATACAGTGAAATGGCATATTTTATTCTTTTTAACACTAGAACTCTCAGAGCAGTCAGTTTGACGTCTTTTGGCTTTTCGTAATGACTCCACTTGTATATGTTTCTGGTCTTCATGACTTTGTGACTTTATCTGTTTCTATATGTACCTTTTTTCCATGTTATTATGTTAATTAAATTATCTCGATCTGCGACTTGGAGCAAGTGCTAGTTACCATAGCAACACATATAAACCAGTTTTAGCATGTATTAAAGATGAAACTACTAATTAATAGTAGGTTCAGTATTCTGGGAGCAGCATTTTATTTTATTTTATTTTTTATTTATTCTGCTAACATAATTTTTTCTTTTGTTTTTCTATATTTTGCTTACATCATGCTGCTGCTTTCAGGGTGTCAACTGGTTCCACTGGAAGGGCCACGAGCATTCCATTGAGTTCGCCGAGATGAAGATCCGGCCGTCCAACTTCCGAAACCTGGAGGGGCGAAGGAAACGGTCATAATCCAACCAACCGGCAAATCCAACCCCACAACCCACCAAGAACCTTCAGCAAATCTCCGTCTTTACCGCCCCAAACTCACGAAAGAACTCGCTCAAAAGTCAACCAAAGTCACTGCCAAGAGCAAGCAACAAAAGAACTCTGGATCTTCTCTCACTGCCCCCGTGCTGTTTAGCAAGACAGTCCTCGACCTGGTCCGTCTGCCCCGGTCTGCGCGGCGTGGGAAAGGCTTGCATGCTACAAACTGGGCCGCGCCAAAGAGACACGACGACGTCAATCTTGGAGGTTTTACAGGCAGAAAACTAGCAAAGCACATGTTTCTAATACAAAATCATGGACTTGTCGAGAGCAGAAAATGATTGACAGGTGAATAATTGTGTACAGATTTAGAGATGTTGGTCAGATGACACCAGAACATTGAATCATAGGTGATGCCATTTGTCTTTTTGTGACATGATATATTCTCCCGATGTGTCCACGGACCAAGGCCAGTTTCACAAAGTCACGCCAACTGTCCCAGGTTGAATCTAGTCCATGAATGCTTTGAGTTTTGGTACGATTCAAAATGTTTTCATAGACTTTTTCTTTTTATTTGGTCCGTCTTTGACCAAAAATTAATGTTATTTTTGTGCATCAATGTTTTTGTAGTATTTAAAAGTTTAAAAACACAAAAGAAATTGGAAAGATCTGCCGTTTGAACGTATAAGAAGACAGGATATATGGCTGTTTCAGAATGCAGTTTGGTAATGCTGTAATATAAAAAAGCAACATGAATGGCAAGGCAAGTTTATTTGTATAACACAGTCCATACACAAGGAAACTATAAGTGCTGAACAAACCAAGATAGTGGTGATAAAAAATCACAGTACATTAAAAAGAGGTAAGATAAAATCCCTCAGTTGTTGCAGCTCAAAAGACCTTATTTTAACCTGGATTTTAACATTGTCAGAGAAGAAGCCTGTCTCACATTTTCAGGAAGATTGCACCAGCTGCTTAAATCTCAAATGCAGCCTCCCCATTTTTAGTTCTGACTCTGGGCACCAGCAGAAGGCCAGGCCCTGTGCTCCTCATAGTCCCAGCAAGAGACCAGTCCCTGTGCTCCTCAGAGTCCCAGCAGGAGACCAGTCCCTGTGCTCTTCAGAGTTTAGTTCTTATGGCACTAACATGAATGAAAAGTTTATTCCTATTTCGTGATGGACTAAAAATAAAGTCCATAAAAACATGCAAAATACAAGCCACACTCTTAATCCATGCAAATTCACAGAAGAACACCAACATCCAGAGGTAATTACCTAAGATAAAATTGGATAAAACAGTCACAAATGTCCCTTTTATACAGAACTAATCTAGTGTGAAATCTGGGGCTTTAGCATAACTTTGCACTTCAGTTGCAATCAATCAGTACCTATATATTTATCCACGGCTTCTGTAGAGATAAGTTTAATGGTGCAAACTTGCAGGCTTGTGGACAACCATTTTTTTAGCAAAGTAATAGGCACCTCTGCATGTATATATCAATATTTAAGAATGTGTACATTTGTTTCCAATCTAAAGGTGAGACGAAGCCAAACAGAATCTTTAATATAAATTTAGGTAATGATTAGATAATGTCTTTCTTAATGTATTGTCGTAATTTGAGCTCATGATAAAAGTGCATGGGTCCTTTAGAGTAGCTGATCTTAACAATAAATGTATTTATTTTTTATATATTTATTTCAAACTAACACTTTTTTATGGCAATTATGCTTGTTCTTAGTTTCTCGTCTACGCAAGAGTCCAATCAACCACTTTTAAAACAGACTTGGATTGTTTTTTGTCAAATAACCACCATTAAACGCGGTAAATGAACAAACTGTTTCAAAACTTTTTTTTATATTCAATTCTTCTTCAAATACTTTGTGAGACTGGCCTTTTAAGTGACGGAAAAAAATGTATTAAATAGTATTTTACCTCCTCATCCCGTGTCCATCAATGAAAGCACCCGCAGGCGTCACACTTGCAGTATTGTGTTTGAAAAAAAAAAAGCTTAAGAATAAATAAGATGCATTTGTTTGAGGCAGGACCTGTTTTATTCACTATATAATGATGAAAGGCGGTGGTGTTTTTTTTTAAGTTTTTTATGCAAAAATGTGAATCTGTTTTAATATATGTGGAAAAAGCGAATGTTACGTTACTATGTGGTATTATCAGCACATCGGGAATGTGGGATTCAATGTAAAGCAGTGGTTCTCAAAAAGTACATTTTGAACAAGTATTAATGACATTTAATAATTACACTTATGTAGCGCGAAAACTTCTCACAAAGGGACCAGAGACCACTCAACAACACAATCACATCTGTAGCTTAAACAAACGATGACGAAAAGAGTAAAAACGCCAAACTTTGAGCTCTGCTGAGAACCTCTCCTGAACCACTGACGCTGATCGGACGCCTGTGTGAATTAGGCCTGTTTTTATTGTTTTGTTTGTTTATAACTGGGTGAAAAAAACAGGTATTTCTCTGTAAGCTGTATTACAATAAAAGGTTTGTTTAAAATGGATGTGCAACGTTTTTTTTATTAAATTGAATGTGTGGTTTAGTTAATATTAACAAGAAGTGAAAAAGAATTCATCAGAGTTTAACGCGTTTGTTTATTTCTTCATGTGATAAGTAAGATAAGATAAGACTTTATTGATCTCTCACTGGCGAAATGTACATGTCACATTTGGCACAGATAGAATCACTCAGATTGTGCGAAAGACAGAAGTGTGCACCATGTTAAGGTTAAAAATATAGTCTGTGCAGGATATAATTATGTACAATAAAAATGTGGCAATAAAAAAAGAGTGGCAATAGCAGTGCAGGTTTTTTTTAGTCCGAGTGCATTAGTGACTTCATCTAAAGTAGCTTCATCTGTTTGAGGCTGTGGTCTAAAATACCATCCAAACCTGACAAAGAAATAAACTATGCAGCCTTTAATAAAAATAGAAGAGCATATTTTATATATAAAAATCAAAGCACGAAACACACTTTTTCTAATTCCCTCACATTATTTTGAGAATGGGGTGAGATCATGGGTATATTATATAGACCCTCCGTTGTTGTTGTTGAGAGAGATGCTTCATTTGAGCTCAGCTCCAATCCAATGTGAAGGGTCTCATAGTGTCTTGATATAATCTTGTTTAATCTATTGTACGATTAAAATGGAAGAACTTCTGTCACTTGGTTGTTCTCTTGCTTTGCCTTTCACAGTATAATAATACAGTGTGGCAGAGTGGTTAGCACTCCTATTTCTCAGGTTTGAATCCCAATAAAAATAGGGTCATTCTGTTTCTCTCTCACCGTCGCTCTCCAGGAGGTGTCTTCCATTTTTTCCCAATGGGTTTTTGAGTTTTTCCTGGAGACGACTGTGAATTAGGGCTGTGCAAAATAATTGAATATTTAATTGAAATACAACAATGCTAAGTCAACAGCTCCTAAAACAAAGTACAAAGTAGTAGTAGGAGAGAGAAATGTCCTTATGCGTACAATTTACATCATCCTGGACCCGAAGTGCAGTATTTTACGTCTGGGGTTAAAGGAACAAGTTCTTTTTTTAATCTCAAAACACCAGCATCATCTTAAATTGAATTCAATATATGAAAAATGTATACGAAATATAGAAGATATAAAAAATTATATCTGTTTTAATTTCCATATGGGTCAATCCACACTCTCCCATTGGGCAACAACAAAAAACCCATCGATCCAAACTCAATCCAAGCCATGAGCGTCACAAACTACTCTCTAATCTACAAGTAAATATCCGACTTTCTCACTGGGAAAGTAGGGACTAAACCGAGAGATGGTCATGGAACCATCGGGCTCGTCGTGTGCAGTCCTGAACAAACCGGACACGTTGGGAATTCCCCGCTTTTGTTTTAGTTCGATTTTGATCCGAAACGCGCAAAAAGGCCCAGAACTGTGGATGTGGAGCTATTGATTGGAGCTGATCCTCCGTCGGCTTCAGTGTCGGAGTCGCAGTCAGGCCCGCGTGGATAATAGCTACATAGAAAGAACACATGCGTAAAAAATACTTCAATAACTAACTGTTTTTTATTCTCATGAAAATAGGTTAAAATATTGTTGAGGTGTTCTTGAGCCGACTGCTTTTATAGGGGAGAGCGAAAACTTCTGCAATAATGAAAAACACTTTTTATCTTTGTTTTTAATGTACTGGGATTATTTGTGATTTTAATGCACTTTGTTCAGCACTTTGCATTGCCTTCTGTATGAATTGTGCTACTTGGGGGGGGGGGGGGGGGGGGGGGTCTAAGGACAGTGGTGCTGATCCAGGACACTCCACATTAAACAACTTTTATGGACATTTGTCTCTGTCCTTTATGGACCAATGGCTCTATGTGTTTTTTTTTTTTTATCTGATCTGTGTTTTGGCAACGATTTGCAAAGTCCTCAGAGAAAACTACTGTTATGATTTAGAGCCACACATAAATAAATGGAGTAGATGTGAACGAATTGCATGGTTTGACATTGTGTTTAGGGACAACTATGTGTCAAACCATTTCTACATTTTAAGCCAAATGACAAATGTGTGAGAATTTGGTGGAAAAAAATGTTGAAAAATTCTGTTCACTAAATTGATACAGTAGGGAAATATTTACCGGTAATCAAATAATTATATGTTTCACTTTTGTGTTTTCTTTTGAGTTTACTCGGGTCATTTACGTCTGCATTTTATATCCACCAGAGGGCGCTTGTTTTTGTGCATTTATTCATCAGCAATTTCAAAAGAAAACGGCTTCATCACAAACTGCTTTTTAGTTTGTGTGCAGACCATAATTAACGTGACATTGGAGTCTTATTTTCCTAAATGTTTGTAATGCCTTTGAATAAACTGAGGGACATGAATTATTATATCACAGAATCGAATCACAATACCGCAATACTATCAAATCTCCACATTTTTGCCAGTTCCCAGCCCTAGACCACGCCACTGTGACTGCTTTTACTACATTAGTAGATTGTGTCATTTTGCTGTTGTACATTTACATTGAGGGTGAGTACAAAGCGCTCAGGTACACTTTAAAATGGGCCAAAAAGACATAATACTTTTCTGGTAAAAAAAAAAAAAGAAAGAAAAAAAAGCTAGAAGCTCGAAGTAGCAGTAGTTTGATGAGACTGGACATAATGAGCCTTAGTCGTGTTGTATCTGTTTTTACAACCTCCAAAATGACTCTTAGACCAACTTTGGTAAATACATTTTCTTGCTAACAGCTGGACCAAAGCTAAACGCTGCACCGTCACCACACGGCGTTACCTAGAGGCCGGTGAGGTCCACGATGGCCTTGATGAAGATGGTGTCGTCGCGGACATAGGAGTTCTTGGAGTCCAGTTTGGCGAGCGGACAGAAGAGGGGGCAGCCGCTCGCGATGTTCATGTCGCTGACCGGACGCTGGAAAGACGACGACGAGATGTCCGGCCTGAAGGCGTCGATGATGTGCTCGCGGTTGTTCTGGTCCAGCAGCATCAGAGTGACCTGGAAAAAAGGCGTGTTCAAAAAGCTGATAATTCTGTGGTGCAGAAGTAGCTCTCCAATCGGAAAATGATGATTCTCTAAAGATTTCTTGTCATCTCTCTACGAAAATGTTGAGTCTACTTATACTATTTACTGAATTCATATGAACGTTTTGAGAGATCCTGTTGAACAAGTGAACTATTGTTTGTTAGAAACGTTTGAAATGTGTGTACTTATGTGTTTGTTTGGATGTGTTCCTTTCTAAAATTTGGGAAAATCTTCCTAGACACTTTTAAGTACAACTCTCTGTCTGAGTGCGCAACGTTAACAGCAAAGTGTACTATTTTGATTCAAGTTTCATAAGTTTTACATCCAGCAGGATTCTGATTCTATCCAACTGGATGGACTGAAATATAGTTGTTACCTTCTGGTTAAAGGGCCACTTGAGGAGCGCGTCGCTGTGTCCTCTCATTACCACAAAAAACAGCGAGAGGTGTGTGCCACGCCCCGTCCCGTCTCCGTTCAGGTAGATCCGTAAACACATCTTGTACCCATATTTACTGGTGAAGAAAGCTGCAAAAAGAACACATGGTTAGTACAAGTAAACTACAGATACCAGGAGACATGTTAGTGCCACTCTGAGGAGCACAGGGACTGGCCTCCTGCTGGGACTGAGGAGCACAGGGACCGGCTCCTTGCTGGTCCCAGAGTCAGGGCATGGGAAGTCCGTGGAGATGAAATGTATTTGTATTTCATCATATTAGTAACTTAAATTTGTGAATTATTTCGATGAATGCATTTTGTTTTGGCGCCAATTGCCTATTACTGGTACTGCCTATTACTGGTACTGTCTATTACTGGTACTATCTATTACTGGTACTGTCTATTACTGGTACTGTCTATGACTGGTACTGTCTACTATTACTGGTACTGCCTATTACTGGTACTATCTATTATCAGTAGATCCTATAATGTGGTTTTTATGCCGTGTGTTGCTCAAACACACTCCCCCTGGTGGGATAAATTAAGTAGTGTGAATCTGAATCTGAATCGTAAACATGAAGCCAGAAGCTGTAGCCGTGCAGCGTGTACCGGGGGAGAACATGGCAGGGGCTCGTCCCGCCACCGCGTCTTGTCTCTTTTTGGTGAAGTCGAAGATCTTCCACACGAACACTCCGTCGTACGTCGCTGCTACCATCTCCCGCAGCTTCCCCTCCATCTCCACGACGGACAGGTCTCTGAGGCTCACGGTGCGCTCCAGCTGACGCACCTGAGACACACAATAATCATAATCATTCATGTTTTCATTCTGGCCTTGAAACAGGATCTTGAGAATAGGTTTAGAATGTGAATAATGAGGGATGTAGTCTTGCTTTTACAGGTCTAATAACATCTTTGTTTTAATTTTTGAAGATGGCAAAAAAAGACCATAGTATGGACTACAGTATAGACTACAGTATAAACTACAGTACAGACTACAGTATAGACTACAGTACAGACTACAGTATAAACTACAGTACAGACTACAGTATAAACTACAGTACAGACTATAGTATAGACTTCCTGCTCTGGACAGAGCAGTCGCATTCTCTTGCTGCTCCTCGCTTGCTGCTTTTTTATCTCCTTTAATCATTTTTATTTACATTTTTATTCCACAAAACACGGATTACTCCTTTTTACAAACTTCAACACAAGACTTGTGGAATTTACCTAACTTACAGCATGTCAGGAGGACGGGAAAAAAGAACAAAACTTTGCGACGGCTGTTTTTCACTCAAACAGGAGCTAAAACTTCTTCAAGACCGAATGTTTGTGCTTGAATCAGAATTGGGGCTGAACACAACAATACCAGTGAAGGGAAATGGACCACATGGACAGAACGTAAGTTATGATGACGCTATTTCATTTCCCAAAATCAACAGAGACAATTGTTGGAACACATATGGTGCCAAGCCGAAACAAGGCAAAGCTAATGATAACAAGAGTGTCATAATGCCACAGCAAAAATCTTTAATTACAAGAAACCGCTTTTCACCACTTTTGGAAGATGAATCAGCAGTAGCCTCTCAGTCCCAGTCTCAGTCTCAGTCAAGGTCAAACGCAGCTGAGTCGCTCTTTATCGGGGATTCTGCGATAAGACAAGTAAACATGCGTAATCTCAAGGTTCACTCAGTACACTCTGCCAAAGTGGATGAGATAAGGCGGTTGGCTCCGAGGCTTCTGTCTGAGAGCGGCGGGGTAAAAAGATTGTTGATTCACGTGGGGGCAGTAGACGTCTATGACAACACAAGTGAAAAGTTGAAACGGGATTACTCTCTCTTATTGGATGACCTTGCTAAAATGGACGCAACAATCGTTATCAGTGGCCCACTACCAAATGTGGACGGGAAGCAAATGAAATTCAGTCGTCTGTATCAGCTAAATACTTTCCTACTCAACGAATGTTCACGCAGAGGACTTGCCTTCATTGAGAATTTTAATCTGTTCTGGAATAGGCATGAGCTTTGTGAAGGGAAAGGGCCACATCTGAACACTTACGGAGTAAAAGTGTTGATGGATAACCTTTCTTTTGCCCTGAGATCTCAGCCTGGGCAGCGCGTGCAGCCATCGAAAGGAAGGAAGCCGACTCTTAAAGTCTCTGCACCTCCACCACCTCGAAGGATCTCAACACCACCACCACCTCGAAGGATCTCAACACCATCACCGCCTCGAAGGATCTCAACACCACCACCACCTCGAAGGATCTCAACACCATCACCACCTCGAAGGATCTCAACACCATCACCGCCTCAAAGGATCTCAACACCATCACCAGCAGCAGCTGCATCACCACCAGCACCAGCAGCAGCACCAGCAGCAGCTGCATCACCACCAGCACCAGCAGCAGCACCAGCAGCAGCTGCATCACCACCAGCACCAGCAGCAGCACCAGCAGCAGCTGCATCATCACCAGCAGCAGCTGCATCACCACCAGCACCAGCAGCAGCACCAGCAGCAGCTGCATCATCACCAGTAGCACCACCAGCAGCACGACCACCACCACCAACATCCTCATCCCCAGCCTGCTCCAAAGCAGACACGCCTTCTTCATCTACAGCGCCTCTGAAGCCCCCATCCTCACCCCAGCCTACAGCAGACAGGCCTGTGCTGGGGTTTCCTCAACCACCTGCCCCTCCATCAAAGACTCCCTCGCCACCTCCCATGGACCTGTCTTGGGTCCCCCCTGCCACGTCCACTCCATCAAGAGAGAATGGGGACACCTCCCTTTGTTTTTCATCCCCGCCTTCACTGTTAGACCTACCTGAACACTCTGCAGGGCTAATAAAATCGGCGATGAAGACTATTCCTCTCACACCCATATTAGCTAGATCTAGAGTCCTGTCCAACATTCTAAACCACTCCCCATATGTACCTCCAAAACCACCTAGGGTTTCCAATTCACCTACAAAAACCACCTCAGCCAGTCCCTCCCCTAACCTCATGACCATTCCACCCCCACTTCCCCCTCGTTCAACATCCAAAACCTTTGCCTCAGCCCACCCCGGCCCTAACCCATCACCAAAAACCCCTCCACCTCCCTGCCCCCCTCGTTCAACACCCAAAAGCCACCCACTTCTCCATCCTCCTCCCCCGCCTTCCCCTTCCCCTCTTTTCTCTAAACACTAGGATGCACAGGGTCTCTGCTTCGCAGCCACTGGCAGTCTAGTTAGAGGAGAGACCCGGCTGGGGCCCTGTCATGAAGCCACCTGTGCCATTCCCTTAGTGATAACACAAAGAATACATTACAGAAAAACATCTGGAGTTAATCAGTCTAATCTGGAAAATCTAATTCTTGTTCCGTGTAAGAATCAGCCGACCGCAACCGCTGATACTGAAACTTTGAAACTTGCTACGCTTAATATCAGATCTCTTTGTAACAAGTCTTTTTTAATCAATCATTTTATTTGTTTTCATAATCTTGATCTTATGTTCATGGCTGAAACTTGGCTTGACCAAAATTCAGGAAATGCAGTTTTAATAGAAGCATCACCACCAAATTTCAAGTTTGAATCTGAAATACGGGAAAACAAAAAAGGAGGAGGCTTAGCTGCCATTTTTAGAGACCACTTTGTCTCCCATAGAATGTCTCTTGGGAAGTTTTCGTCATTTGAATATGTGTCTTTTAAAATACAACAAAAACAATCTCCTCCAATACTCTTCATTGTCCTATACAAGCCACCACAGTCATGTCACAGTTTTATTGATAATTTTACCGAGTTGCTTTCAGTTGTATGCACAAATTTTGATAGTTTGGTTATTACAGGTGATTTTAATATTCATGTGGATAATGTGACATGTGTTTCACAACAAACCACCAGTGGACTCTGCAACTGTTCGAAGAAGGCGCATAAATGAAAATACGAGTGAACTATTTATGGGAATGATAAACTTTGAGAATGCATCATATTCTACTGTAGATGAACTGTTTAACTCTGTCACCTCTAGTGTTTTGAATGTTCTGGATACCGTTGCCCCTGTGAAGGTTAAAATAGTGAAAAATAAGCAGAAGGCGCCGTGGGCTAAAGCAGACTCGGTCAGGGCACAAAAGAGAAAGTGCCGGAGGGCCGAGCGGAAGTGGCGCAAGTCCAACCTCCAGGTTGATTACGAGATCTTCAAAGATAAGTTGTGCGAGTTTAACCGGGTGCTACGTAGTACGAGAGAAAGGTATTTTTCTGAAATTATTGAAGGCTGCAGCAACAATCTGCGTGTTCTGTTCTCAACAGTTAATAGATTAACAAACCCCCCTGTTCAAATGCCATTAGAGCTTACTTCCAAACGTAAATGCAATGAGTTTGCTAATTTTTTCAATGACAAGGTTCAAGGCATCAAAAACGCCATTGTCTCCAATCCACAGATAACCATCCAACAGCCAGAAAGGCTCTCTGAGCTAACTCACTTTGCACCTGTAAATGATAAAACTGTCCAAGAGATAATCTCCAGTTTGAGCTCCCTCCACATGCAGCTTGGATGTACTACCCACTAGATTTCTGAAGTCTGTTTCTGAGCAGTCTGTTACCTTCACTCACACAAGATAGTAAACATGTCCCTTCATTCTGGAATATTCCCAAAGGCCCTGAAAACTGCAGTCATCAGGCCCCTGCTAAAAAAGAGCAGTCTCGATGCTACGGTACTTAACAACTATCGTCCCATCTCAAATCTGCCATTTATGGGGGGAAAGTCCTTGAGAAAGATTGTCTACCTACAGCTTACTAGATTTCTTATAATCAACAACTCATTTGATATGTTTCAGTCCGGCTTTAGACCCCACCACAGCACTGAGACTGCTCTCGTTAAGGTTACAAACGATAGTCCGGCTGAACACTGACGCAGGCAAAGTCTCAATCTTAATCTTGTTAGATCTAAGTGCTGCCTTTGACACTGTCGACCATGAGATCCTCTTACAGAGACTAGAGGACTGGGTTGGAGTCGCTGGCACCGCCCTAATTGGTTTAGGTCTTACCTTGAAGACAGGAAGTACTTTGTGAGATTGGAAACTGTGTCTCAGATCATATGGCCCTGACCTGTGGAGTCCCACAGGGTCGATCCTGGGACCTCTTCTGTTCAATCTCTACATGCTGCCGTTAGGTCAGTTAATACGCAGAAACAAAGTTTCCTATCATAACTATGCAGACGACACTCAGATCTATGTCTCACTGACTGCAGGAGAACATGGACCAGTGGACTCACTCCTTCACTGTATCCAACAGATCATGAGTGGATGCAAAACAACTTCCTTCAGCTAAACGCAGACAAAACTGAAATGATTGTCTTTGGTCCCCAGAAACAAAGAGAGAGCGTCATCTGTCACCTACAGTCTCTCTCCCTAAAACCTTCAAACAAGGTCAGAAATCTAGGGGTAATACTGGACTCAGACTTAAATTTTAATAGCCACATCAAATCAGTAACATCAGCAGCTTTTTACCATCTAAAAAACATTGCCAGGATCAAAAACATAGTGTCTAAAGCAGACCTGGAGATTCTTATCCATGCATTTGTCTCCAGTAGGTTAGACTACTGCAATGGCCTGCTCACAGGTCTGTCCAAACAGGCTGTAAAACAGCTGCAGTACATTCAAAATGCAGCAGCTCGAGTCCTGACTAGAACCAGGAAGTACGACCACATTAGTCCAGTCCTCAGGTCTCTGCACTGGCTTCCTGTGGCTCAGAGAATAGACTTTTAAAACAGCTCTGCTTGTGTACAAAGTCTCTCCATGGCCTCGCACCAAAATATATTAGTGACATTTAGTCCCATATGAACCACCCGGACTCTGAGGAGCACAGGACTGGACTCCTTGTTAGTGCCCAGAGTCAGAACTAAACATGGGGAGGCTGCTTTTCAGATTCATGCTGCTAAAATCTGGAAACAGTCTTCCTGGAGATGTGAGACAGGCCTCCTCTCTGACAATGTTTAAAAACCAGTTAAAGACAGTTCCGTTTAGCTGTGGCATACAACTGAGGATTTTATATTTTATCTTCTGGTTTAATGTTCTGTGATTATTTATGATTTTAATGCTTTCTTGTATTGTGTTCACACTTTGACTTGCCTTGTGTAATGAATTGTGCTATATAAATAAAACTTGCCTTGCCTTGCCTATGATACCAACTTGAAAGAATAACCCTGAATCATGGAACGGACGATATTTCTAGGTTTTGTTTAGGCTGATAGCACATGACTAAAGTGAGGAGGGAGTCAGAATAAGCAGAAAGTCTAAGGGCCTTGTTAAACACCAATCACAATTTTTCCTTTATAAAAAAAAGAGCTGGAGCCCAACACAGCCCTTGCCTAAGAAGTCATGAATAAACCTCAGATCACCTCTATGTGCATACATCATACATCAGAGGGATGACACCACCTAATAGAGTAGGATACATCTCAACCCCCACACATGAAAAGGGCTCTGAAATTACCCACTACACAGGTAACTGCAGGCTTCTAAAATGCCAAGTGAAAGAGAGGAGGAAAAATATAGCCATAGCCTAAATGGATTCACTGTAATGATGTGAGGGCCAGTTTTATTTTCTTGACCTGCAATGTCCCTGCATTTTGATTTCACAAAAACATCCCAAATCTTTTTCATCTCAGCTCTTTCAGCACCAAATGCATCACTCCATCAATCCAAAGCCCGGCTACCAGATGCTCGCTTAAGAGCCCCATCCCAAGTACATCTGGTTGGGCTTGACTGTGCTTCATCTGACTCTCACCTAGGACCTCGGATTGCCAAGGAGGTCCTTTACCAGGGACATATAGCCCAAGACAACTCAGGACACCGAGTACTCAAACTCTCCCACCAAGTCAGGTGCAGTTGTTTATTGGAATGTAACTTCAGTTAACCATTGGTAAATAATGTGGGCTAAATTAGTACTGTTGCAAAATCACTTTGGAGCCATGGAGGGGGAGCGGGACTTTCTGGATGCTAATGGAGAAGGCCTTGTCTACATTGTCCTTTTGTTTTCTGTTGGGTTTCTCGTTCCTATGGAAGGTGTGTCTTATCTCCTGATATACTGGCTTGCAGCCTGACTAAGGCAACATGTTTCTGGACACGGGCTGAGCTGAGCTGGCGCTCTTCTCTTAGACTGTCTCCTTGGAAGGACAACCAAGTATCAAAGAATGCCTGAACTATGCCTTGTGTGTTATGTGATTTTGTCGTGATTGACTGTAATTACATCATTAAAACAGTCCAGAGGGGAAAGTGTTAATACACATTTTTGTTAATATAGCATATGTAAGTACATTCAGACTATTGCAAGTTGGTTTCAGTGGAGTTATAAAGTTTATATACAGTTTAATGAACTGAAAACTAAATTAAATTATTAGAACCCTAGACCACCTATTTGCATAGGTAGTTTTTTTGTCCATCCACGTAGAACAGAATATGCAGACACAGCTACTAGACAAGACATGGCCAGGGACTGGAAAATCCAGAGCCGATCATAAAGTTATACAACAAAAATACATACTGAATAACAGGGTACAGCCTTGCATGCACCTATGACGACCACTCTCAAGGAC